GTTAATGTTCAAGCCACATTGTTTAAATACAGATCTTAAAGGGATTCCACTTTTTTTTTTGGAAATAGGCTCCCCCAGAGTTAAACAGTTGGGTTTCGAATCCATTCAGCCGATTTTCTGATATTTAGGAGAATATCAGTAACCAGACAGTTTCTACTTCCATAGTATAGCCTATATTTTTTCCTGCTATGGAAGACAATGGGAAACAAATCCAAATTCGAAAATGGTAAAACCCATGTTTAACTCTGGGGGAGTTGAAAAATGAGACTGTTTCCAAAAATAAGTGGAGTATCCCTTTAATGCCAAACATCAATCATCTGATAATTACAGTGTAATCCCCTTTATCTGTCACACCTCAGCGGACTACACTTCCCAGCATCCCTCATGTTCACCACCTGCACACCGTCGGCCGTCACCTGATCACCTGATCACCTGCATGTCATTAAATGTTCCTCACAGCTGTCTGTCATTGTCTCGTCATCACCTTTTGTATTTAGGTCCCTTCTGTTCAGTCAGTCTTGGTCCGTTCTCGTTAATTTTGACGTTGCAATTGGTGTGTGTGAGGCTTTCTTCTACCAACACCACACTGTGACAGCATCATTGTTATTTATTTGCATCACATTTTTTTGTATTTTGTTGTGTAGGTAAATACTTTTTCCTCTCAAAATTATAGTTTGTGGCTTGGAAACTACAATTTTAACAACACTATCTGTTTCCATTTCATGTAGCATATCAGCATTTCTTTCCTGCATTCATGCATTACATCTTCAATAATCCCCCTCCTGTATATTTAATATCTGCCTTTCTTCATCTCTGTGTAGATGGAAAGGTTGTGGTAGCACATTGAAGCGTATCCGTATTGAATTGAGTGAGGAACGCTCCGGTCAAGAGACGGAGAATCTGCGGTTCGCAGATAACACCGTCCTGCCCTTTGGAAATCTTGAGCCTTGCACTGACGATAATGATTTCGGATTGATTGACAGTTTTTTTTATGGCCATGTGTTTCTCTTAGTTTTAGTTTAATGGTTTTTAAGAAGAAAATTAAATTAATAAGGAGAGAGGTCTGATGAAGGATAGCTCAGAACAGTCATCTCAGGCTTAATTAGCTATAATTTCCCAGATAGCGAACTGATATTGAATCAACGTGGAAATATGACATCGAAACGTTGATCTGACATTGTTTTGCTCATCGGATTAACGTTGAACCAATGCCAGACGCGTCATTCTTTTAAAACTAACGGAAAATCAACTTGAAATCAACGTTGTTTCAACGTTATGAAAGCAAACCAATTTTCGATTTTCATTTAGCTTTGAAGAATGCCGCGTCTGACGTTGGTTCAACGTTAATTTGATGAGCAAAACAATGCCAGATCAACGTTGTTTCGATGTCATGAGAGACGTCGTTTCCACGTTGATTCAATGTCAGTTTGCTGTCTGGGTTGTCATATCGCATATGCAAATCTTGATTATTTTAATAGATTTAGTAATTTACACATCCAGAGCACATGACCTTCCTTAATGGTCACTTAATTATACCTGCTGTTCACTGATCACATTAATATAGTATATAGTTCACCGTTAAAAACTAGACATTTAGTTAGATTTTATTTTGTTGCATAATTGTTCGCAATATTTAATTTCATTAAGATGGAGGTGGCCAAATTGTTTACTAACGGGACAAAAATCAAACTCGGAACAAATTTGTATCGAACAATATTTTGAAATGTACATATTTTTTTCCACTTATATTCTCAGAAATAAAACCATACATGTAGAAAATATAAATTAAAAGAAAGATATTATTAAATTATGTTCCCCTTCTTGTGATATGAGGAAAATATGGTCAAATTGAAGGACATCTCTGCATTAATAATTCTATTATTATCTCCTAATTTCCTTAAAAATGCCAAATACAACAATATATCCCGCAGGAAATGAGACAAAGACAGAATGGGAAAGAGCAGCTGCAAAATAGAGGTACGTGATGAGTCGATTTGTAAGTCCTCTTCCATGTTTTTACATTTGGATTTGTTGTTTCGTGTGTGTGTGTGTGTGTGTGTGTGTATCATCATGTCCAGGTCTGCTCCCCAGTGTGCTTTTGCCAGTCTGTGCAAGCTGCCCACAGTGCCACCCCCAGAAGTGGGCATTAGTCCTCTAATTAAACTTCTTTATGGTTTGGGTGGCACAGAGAACAGGCACATGTCATGCCAAGCCTTGTTTATACATGCCAGCCTCTGCTGTGCCCTGCCAAACTTTGCCATCTGACAGTATGCCAACCTCTACATCTGAAGCCAGATCTGCACCAGACTGTGCCAGTGAGGAAGGTCGATGCCAAGCAGTGTCACACAGTGTGCCAGCCATTACCATTTAATGCCAGTCTCACCAGTTCTTCTAAGGCTGCTGCTAATTAGGAGGGCACTTCATGAGTGTATTAGGAAACACAGGACCAATGAAAAAGCATTATTCTTATAACAATAATGCTGTATATATGTGTGTGTATACACACTACTGGTCACAACAAGATTTTATTTGATCAAAAATACAGTAAAAATAGTAATATTGTGAAATATTATTACAATTTAAAATAGCTGTTTTCTATGTGAATATATGTAAAATGTAATCACTATATTACTTTCTGTTTTATAAGACTTAACATGCTAGAAAGATTTATGGGGAATCCTGTTAACCAAGACACACCACAGAATGGCTCCTACATTTAAACTGCTGCAAGTTAGAAAATCTTTTCTCTCTGGCTGAAATGAATACAGTGGACATGAAGCATAAGACAGAGAGATGATCCTAAATAGAAAACCTGTTAAAACATTTGGCCTCCTCATCTGCAAGCTGTTTCCCCATTGGACCTGCCAGCTGTTCCCAGCAGCCAGAGGAGAGAAACGCCCCGAGGGCTTGTGGGTAGTCCATGAGTGTTTTTAATACAAAACAAACAAGGGTCAGAAGCTTGTTGGGGTCTATGAATTAAGATATTGTTAGATAATTAGATGTCTTATGATAAAATATTGTAACTGAGTCACTGTACATTAGTCAGTGTGTTTTAATATACTCCTGTCTTCTGAGTCTAAATATGGATGCCGCCAGAAAGATGCAAATCTACCACAGGTTTACATATAGCTTTGCATTAATATGCATTTCCATCCATGTCATGTTTCCAGGAGCAGGTGTTCAAACAGCCTGATGAATAATTAGATCTGGTCCTTGCTGGTCTCTATCTAGATTTTAATATAAGGTATGCTGGTAGGCCTACAGCGGTTTTAAACCTACCTTAATTTTTCATCCGAGCTAAAACATTTTTCATTTGAGGGTTTGTAGTCTACAATACAAACGAGTTACCAAGTGTGCGGGTTTCCCGTGTTGGGCAACTTTTACACCGACCGCGGGCTGTTTTTCAAGTCAGCTGGTTAAAGTGAAACCAATAGGCTATGTTTAGTATTTACATCCCGGAATGACATTTTTACCAGGGCATCCATCCAAAAAAAAAAAAGTCGGATTTTACCCCCGGAACCTCTATGGACTAGTTTTGACCAACAATTAGGGAGTGTTGTGACTAATTGTGAAAACCGAAAACCTGGCAACCCTTACCTCAACTCAACGACGATGTTGCGTAGTGAGAGATCAAAGTTTGCAGCCAGGAGCTGTGTGTGGAGCTCCAGTACCGGTAAGTAAGCTGTCAAGGCTATTTTATTCACTTTTAATAAAACTTAAAGTGATTTTTTTCCTCTTTGATACAGATGATACTGAGTCATTAATAAATAATTCATGACAAAAAAAAAAAGATATGTATTTTTCCATGAGTCCCGCGATTATAACGTTGTAAAGCCTGTTTGTAGCGTGTTGATCTTTACTCTGCGTTTTATTAATTCATTACGCTCAATAAAAGGACGGAAAGAAAAGGCACTGTTGACTTTATTTCTAACACTATGGCAAATGTACAGTACCGTTGTGTTGGGTTTTGTTCTAGCTATGATGTTCAGTTGTAGATCAGTGGACTTGCTGCAGTTGAATATTCAGCAAGAAAAGCCCTCTGTGACAGACGAAACATAAATTATGTGGCCGACGTAATTGAATAATACTTCCCTAAAGTAAGGTGATGACGTCCCTTCAAGAGGCTACTTTCTCACTATCTCACTATAGACGAATCCGGCGAAACTACCGGAAGTAAGCGGGCGCCATTACTGAGCTGTTGCTGGGTAGCGTTGCGCCATTGCCTTCTATTGTTTTAGTTGCAACTTGCGTCCACTGGAATAAACAGCTCGCGATTTACGACTGTCACTAACGTTACAACGTTAGCCCTTGTATAATGTCGAGTGGGTAAACATTTTCCGTTATAAATTGTTTTAATGGTGGCAGTAAAATTTCAATTTTGAAGAGAAAACATTGTGAATACCCCGGGTCGACTGCCCCTGTCTGGTGCCGTACGCTTTACAGATTTCCTGGGCGAGTACAAGACGCGGACATTCGCGTATAATAACAATTATTTAATGACATAAGTAAAAAAATATAATAAATGATATAGTGATCAGCAAAATCTCCTCTCTTGTTATTTTTTCTATTCAATTTACATGCTATGGTCATTAAATGGCTTTCCTGAGCTGAATGTAACGTTATGTGACATAATTGTTCTCCTGCTGTTATATTGACTTCTTTCCATGGTTTAAAAACAGTAGTTGGTCGATATTATGTAGCCTATACTTTCTAGCTGTAACGTTACCTTACCCATGCCCGTTGCAATGTAAAAATGAGATAAATAATGGACACAAATGAAAAACATGAAATTGTTTATTTGATTTCATTTATTTATTTATTTATTGTTGCCAAATGGACAGATCTTTTTTTAGTTTCCTCGGTAGCAAACGTTAGCCTAGCTTGCTTGCCAAGCTATTTTCATAAATAATCTGTAAGATCGTTTGTACCTTCATCTGTGACTGGAGGCCAATGTCTAACATCATCAACCCAACAAGTCTGCCTGGCTGTAGCTGTCATCAAGGGTGCGTTATCACCTTATCTCCGAGGTTTGTTTACATACTGGTGCATATACCCAGGGGGCAAAGGGGGTTTAGCAGACATGGGCTGCTGTAAAAGGTTGTCATATAAAAATGAAATCTATGATGTCTGAGGATCGCAACCTGGGTGGACAACCCGGTGAACAAGCTGCTGGAAACTTGTAATTAGGGTCAAAACAATGCTACCTCAAATTCTACTTTAACTCCCCGGAATCACCCAAACATGCTAAAACGGTTTGATTATATTCATGAATCCTGAGCCATATCTCCCTGATACTTTATGCTAGAAACAAACTGAGCATACCGTTCAAAAGAGTGGAAGATAAGCTTTCATCTGATGCATTGACTGTACATGTAATCAGAAAGTAAGAGTGAACAATGCCTCTTAATTCACAGGTAGGCAAAAAAAAAAGAAAAAAATATATAACATTCCATTTGTAATCGGTAACATTCTTTACCCTTTGTTGTTGTTAAAATAAAAAAAAAATTACCATGTGAAGTTAACTTTTACTAGATGAAATCATATTTTGATCATTTTCACTAACCATACAGTCCTATGGTCCATAACAAATTTAGAGGAATTCATAGGAGTGAAGTTAGTGAGCAGTTCACAGCTCCAAATCCACAGGAGTTTTTTTTCTATATCAGCCAATAAAGCAAATCTCCTTCAATTCCTCTGTGAGAGGTGGTGTGAGCATGAACAACTCAAGCCTCCTATTGGCCTGACTCGTATCTACCTGGGTGGTGGATTTAAAGAAGAGACAAAGACCGTTGTGCTTGCAGATGGTTCTGTCAGGGATGTTCCTGCTCTTGAGTCCACACAACCCCACCCCCACAGAAGAAGATCAACGCCTACTTCAACACGGCCGTTAGCCCCGCCCACTGATTCGCGCATTACACGCATAGCTAAATGACATAGATGCCTACCACGTGGTGACAAACTGGATTGAGCTACCGAAGAATACAGAATCATGTGCAGTGCCTGTTTGTGGAAGAAGACAGTGGCTTCATAATGTCAAATACGCCCCTACCCCAATTTGATCTCTCCCCCAATTTGATTGCTCCACCCCACACTTACATACACGACCATAACCCAGACCTTTCTATGGCGGAATCCGGCGGGAAAAAAATCGGGCTTTGTTGTCTGTAATCACTGTAAAAGCTGTGTGTCTGAAAGTGCAATTAGCATTTGCTTTTTGTATTTCTTTCCTGGTAAAATAAAGTTTATTATTTGTGTTCCATACAAGAAATATAAAATGAGTGTTTCCATTTTAAAATAAAGTTTTGTTTATGTAAAATACAAATGTTTTTGAGGGTTAGGACAGATAATTTTACCCTTTTATCAACAGTTTCATCTTGTCATTTGAAAAATGCAGTTCTGCAGAGAAACACCTGAGAAGGAAAGTGAAAGGAAGATCAGTGCTTGATGATCAAGGACCCATTTCAGAGGAGGACAAAGACACATCTTGTCATTATTCAAGGTAAGCTTAATACTTTAAGTTACTGAGTCCAATGTTTAATTTTCTTGTTGAAGATTGAACAAGGCACATTATGCTCGCCAAGGCTGCATTTATTTGATCAAAGATACAGTAAAAGCAACAATATTGTGAAATATTTGTACAATTTAAAAAAAAAATGTTTTCTATTTTAATATATTTTTAAATCATTCATCAATCATCATTACTCCAGTCTTCAGTGTCACATGATCCTTAAAAATCATTCTAATATTCTGATTTGGTGTTTTAAGAAACATTTCTTACTGTTATTATGTTGACTTTTTGTTGCTTAATATTATTGTGGAGACTGAAATACATTTTTTCATGATTTTTGATTAATAAAAAGTTCATTTATTTGAAAAACATTACAAGGGCCTTTAATGTAAATATAATGCATCTTTGCTAAATTCAAGTATTAATTTCTTCCCATATTTTAACAGTAGTTTATATAAATACATTATAACATTCAATGCAAGCTTAATGTACGCCTATTCATGAATTGTATGCTGCTGAAAGGCGTGTCTGATTACAGTCTTCACAGTGGCTTCCACTGAATAAAAGTTCTAGATTGTGTCATTTATGAAACTCATAACTTTCAGTACTGTTTTATAGAATTTTTTTATTGAGTCTTCTGAAAATCTTTTGAGAAGATGTTTTGTGTCTGCATGAAACATTGAACACTGTATTTCTACAGTATCCCTCACAGCTTTTGTTTATTTGTCAAATATTAAATTAGACTATATGTCCCCACGGTCTAGACTCTAAAGCAATAAAAAACAACCTTCTCAACTTTCAACTTTTCTAACTTTATCTCATAGTCATGAATGCACAGACTGATTGAACATTACAACCTTTATATAATTCTAATGATTCATTTTGATCATGATAATTTAATAATTATTTAGCAGTAAGGGTAACCAAACATCAAAACCATAAAAATTAAGGACATGCCGGTCACTGTGTTGTAGACATTCATTGCTTGTCAAATGAAGAGAAAAGGGGCAATTATTCTCAAAGCAATTTACTGATTATTCTCTTTCTCTCTATCTATCTCTCTCTATCTCCCCCTCCCCCTCTCTTTCTTTCTCTCTCAATTGCATTGTGTTATGGGTTAAAGGAAATGTGAGTGTGTATCTAGTGTCTGCTGACAGTCTGGGGATCACTGGAATAACTGGAATAACTGGATATTGCCATTGCAAACATATTTTGCATTGCTAATAATCTTTGGAATGAATTGGTATCATTCACAATCACTATTGTAATGTTTAGTATTATTTTCAATGTGACATTTTTCTTTTATTTCTAAAGTCTGGTCTGAAATGTGAAAGACAAGTCTTCTAAAAAAGACTAGGACAAAATGTAAAACTACTTCTTGAGTCTAATTGGCCTAAAATTGTACTATTTTAAAGGCATGACCATAAAGCATGAAGTCTGACTCAATCATCACCAGCATTCAGGTGAATCTATCAGACCAAAATAATCTACTAATGTGCATAGAATCTTAAACTGAAAAACAACCTGAAGATTAGTTCAAAAACATGAACATTAACAAAAAAATGTTTCATATAGTTGATCTGAAGACGGTGTCATTTCATTATGCACATTTATTTACATCAGTGGTTCTCAATCGTGGTCCTGGGGAGCCACTGCTGTGTGGGGCCTCATCTGTTCACCGTTGCGTAAGCACACAGCAGGCCCTGAAGGAGGCGTACACCACTTCCGAAATTTCTAAAAACAAACTTGAGAGAGTGTATAGGTATAGAGTGTATAAAAAATAGATAGAGTCCATCTTCACAGTAAAAGTTTAAACAAATAAAAGAATGATTTACTTCCGATATAAACATTTAGATTAATTATGCCATTCTCATTAATGGAGTTAAACACTTAAACTAACTACATGAAATCTTTACTAAGAAGTTACAAAAAAATTATATTTAATAAATAGAAATAGACCTATTTGTTGTGGATGCCATGCTTTTGAACCCTTTTCCTCTGGCATGCTGTGTTTTAATGTTTTAACTTATAGCCAATAGCAGATTTTCTGGGAATTTTGTTTCGTGGACAATTTTATCTGATTGAAAAACTTTCTCTGAAATGTATTTAACACTATTTAATTTATTTATTCAAAAACAAGGCAAGGATATATGCTACTAAAAATAACATGAATGTAATAATGTGACGGCACATCCGTATTTCATATTTTACTAACGTCTTGTACCGTTAAACATGGTATCACGTGGATGAATAATCATATGCAAATGACATGCAGATGAGCATATGCATATTAAAACTAGGTGTTGTAAGCTCCAAATATGGTTATTTTAGGGAGGAGACGCATGTGCGCACATTCTTCCGCTGACTGGGTTTTATAAAGTGAATTCTGCGCAGGTTCTGGCGTACGGTTGTCTGAATATTTTTTCGCATTTGCTATTTTTGCCGTTCGGGTGCACTTTCACTTCATTCTATGCACAGTTTTAATGAGGCCCATGCACATTTTTTATGTCTCCTTTATGCTGTCTACACACCCTCTTCAGTTAATAGAGCCAGAGCCCGTCTAACGGAGAGCCTTGGCACTTCCTATTAGCCCCGTTGTGTATCATCTTGGTTGCAGTTCCATTAGAATTCCACTGGGGGTGATCGCGGGCGAGAGCAGAATGAATGGGAGTCTATGGGGCTAAACGGCTAAATGTGTCTCTTTCTCCTGCTTGTCGTTAAATCAACATAGATTTTATTGTTGATTCCGCAAGTTCAATATAGATTATAGGCCAAAAGTCGAATGAACGAGTACTAATGTCCTTTTGATCTCCTACAGGTTAGGCCGTTGTTGGCCGGAAGACGCTAGCATTCTGCTATTGTGTGACGTCATCACATTTTTGAATGGATTTTTAGAACAGATAAGTGAACTTAAAAATGCAAGTGTATTTTCTTAGCCCTCCCTTTTGAATGCAACTTTCAAATTACTTGACAAAAAAAATTACATCCTGAGAAAAGTGGATTTCTGGGGGTGAAACCCCATTGACTCCCATTCATTCTGCACTCGACCGCCAGCGCCCCCGCATGGACAGAGACGCGTTACTGCAGCCAGTCCAGAACCCGGAAGTAACCAGCCAGTGCCAATTCTCTTCAATTAGACATTCTCTGATAGAGCTCTTTCCTAACAAGCTGATGATCTGAATCAGGTGTGTTAAATGAGGGAGACATACAAACTGTGCAGAGCTGTGGCTCCCCAGGACCAGGATTGAGAACCACTCATTTACATAGATCTCTCTGCTATAAAAATGCAACTATTTAAATATTAAATATTTATCTTTTCTCAACAGTGCATGAAGGATGATGGCATCTGTTTTAGAGCTGCTTCATCATACACTAGATGACCTGAAAAAGGACGATCTGAACAGATTTAGGAGTTACTTAAAACATGATGGATCCATTGGAGCTGGTAAACTGCAGGATGCTGATGTCACTGATATAGTGGATATAATGATGGAGCGTTTTGAAGAAGAAGAAGAAGCTGTGAGAATCACACTGAACATCCTGAGGAAGATGAACCAGAATCAGCTGGCTGAAGAGTTGCTGGACAAGTACACTGAAGGTAATAAAGGAAATAATAAAGAACAAGAGGCAGCATGGATTCTTAAAACTATGCATAAGAAATGTGAAAATTATTATGAAAAATTAATTAATTTTTAAATTAAAAAAATAATATGTTCAAGACTATATTTATTTTATAAAATAGATAAAATATTGGGAAATATTATTAAAATAAAAAAATGTTTTCTATTTAAATATCTTTTTTTTTCTGTCACTTTTACAGCTGAATTTTCAGCATTATTACTCCTGTCTCTTCTGTTTCACATGATTGTTCAGAAATCATTCTAAGATGCTAACTCGCTGCTCAAGAAACATTTCTGATTATAATGCCTTTTTCAGGATACTTGACCTATTCTATTTCTTCTTCTCCACAGTACAAAAATCCTTCAAAGAAGCTGAGAAAGATGGAAGAAAACAAGGTGAATTAACCTTACACACATCCTTAAAGTGGGACCAAAAATATGTTAGCATGTTTGATGTATACTAGGGGTGTAACGGACTGTACGCAAACATTACGGTTCGATATTGAACTCACAGTTCAGTATGAGTTTGGTACAGCAGGGAGGAGAAAACTAAACCTTGCTTTTTCATTTTTCTTTTCTTTTTTAATTAAAGGCGCACTATGTAGTTTTTCCGCCGATAGAGGTCAGGGATTCAAAACAAAGGCATAGCTTGATAACAGCTAGATTTAGCTCGGAATCATGGGAGTTGTTTTCACCTCGGCAGCTGCTATGAGACACTCGTCATATTTTTAAATGCTATATGGCTTGTGTTGCTAAATGGCACGCAATTCATTTTAAAACATATTGTATGACATTTTTGCTAAAAAATAAAGCTGCATTTGATTATGTTATCGCAGACAGCAAACTGACATTGAATCAACGTGGAAACGACGTCTCTCATGACATTGAAACAACGTTGATTTTGCTCATCGAATTAACGTTGAACCAACGTCAGACGCGGCATTCTTCAAAGCTAAATGAAAATCGAAAATTGGTTTGCTTTCATAACGTTGAAACAACGCGTTGATTTCAAGTTGATTTTCCGTTAGTTTTGAAAGAATGACGCGTCTGACGTTGGTTCAACGTTAATTCGATGAGCAAAACAATGTCAGATCATTGTTGTTTCGATGTCATATTTCCACGTTGATTCAATGTCAGTTTGCTATCTGGGATGTTAGCCACTTGACAAAACAGTGTTTATCTCTGAGGCATGGAAAAACAGGGTACTTGTGGAAAATCAAGAAAACAAGCTATTCAAACTATGAGACAAACAGTGTTGAGCTATTTAACAATGATTCGTTTTCTGTCTATAATGTATCCATACAGTTGTTCCCTTGTCTAATAAAACATATAATATTTTATAGCATATTTGGTTTCTGCAAAATAAAAACAAGGAAATCAAGGGTAACAGGTATGGCGTTAATGATTCGCAATACAATGACGTGATACATGTCCTGGTTAAAATTGCTTATTTGTTTGGATTTAAATACTCGAGTGGATTTGGATATTTTAATCAATTAAGATTGAAAATCTTACATATTGTGCCTTTTAAACTTAAGTGGCTTTAAGTACTATGTACTTACATTGAAATTAATATTTTGATACAATGGACTTATTGTGTACATACATGATTTTACATTGTACTTATATTTTGAAAATACCTGCATGTAATTACAGCTGTAATTAATAAATGTAATTACGTTTGTAATTACACAGTTGACCCTTCCCTTACACCTTAACCCACCCTTAAACTGACCCATACAACCACACCTGACCCTAACCTTACCCGTATCACACCTCAATAGCTGCAAAAGTGTTTTACAATACAACCTAAACAAAATAAGTACATTGTACTTATTTTTCAATGTAAGTACCTAGTACTTAAAGCCACTTAATATAAAGTGGGACCTTTTTTTATTTATATTTGTTTAAATAAATTAAATTTATTATAAAATTAAATTATAAATTATTATAATTAAATTGTAATTAAAATTTTCTAGCTCAATAAAAATTCAATCTTAGCTATATGGGGAGTCCTTAATTACACATTAATATAATATTATATTAAATATATATTATATTAAATAAATTCAGTTGCAATGTTTTTTTTAGATATAATAATCAACACTCAAATAAAATTAATAATGTACTGTAAATTGCACATAAGACAGGTTTTGCAATAACTTCTAAATCTAATTTTCAATTCAATTTTTGAAATATGATCATGTCCACAGTAGCTGTCATAAGCTGTTTTCATTAAACATTTATTTACATTTACAATAAATAATAAAGACATAACTAACTGGTTAAGTAAATATAATGAATACGCAAATATAATGCATATATAATTTTCAAACTGTTTTATTGATATCTTTCCACAGTTGAAACACTTGTTGAGAGATGTAAACATATCGATCGATCGTCTCTTCTTTCAGCGCTTTTTATGGTTAGCAAACTGTGTTGCATTGCCACGCATTACCTTCTGTATTGGAGTGTGGATCGCCTGTGACTGAATGTATTCGTTGTGCCACTGTACTATGCACCAAACCGTGACGTGACGTATGTACCATACGATTCGGGACGAATACAGAACCGTTAAACCTTAATGTATACTGATCTAAGCTATGATTTTAAATACAGTAAATATTAAAAATACTGTAAAAATGCTACAGTAAAAACATGTTAATTGGTTAACTGTAAGTTACCTTACCATATATGGTGAACAACTGTAAATTATTTAACATCACATTAATTTACTGGAAAACACCATCAAATTGATGGTCTTGTGTGTCATTTATTGTATTTCATTGATGGTTAAAAAATGTAAAGGGACATTCCCAAAAGCCCTAGTTGCACATCGCATATATTTTTTTTGATAATAGATTCTTATTTTTGTTTTGTTATCTTCTTATTTGTTAATGTCTGTTGCAATATTTAGTGTTGTGTGTTACCCTGATGGTGTTTTTGTGTGAATGATCCTCAGTTTTTTTGGTTAACACTTTTCCTTTATGTATATATATATATATATATATATTGTTTGTTTTTATAACAGATGATTTACGGCTGCAGGAATTCTTGGAAATTCACAAACTTAACATGAAGAAGGAAGTAGAACACATTTTTGAGTGTAAAGAGAACAAGGAAGCACATCTAAAGGACGTTTTCACAGAACTCTTTATTACGGAGGGGGATCTTAAAGAAGTCAATCAAGAACATGAGATTTGGCAGATGGATGACACTATTAAACCCCGTAAATCACAGCAAAGTTCAATCAAATGCAATGATGTATTTAGGCTGAACAAAAGTGAAAAGAAAAAGATTGTTCTGACCAAAGGCATCGCTGGCATTGGAAAAACTGTCTTGGTGCACAGGTTCATTCTGGACTGGGCAGAAGGAAAAGCCAATCAGGAGATACACTGTGTTTTCCTGCTTCCATTTCGAAAGATTAACTGCATTAAAGATGAAAATTTCAGTCTGCATGAGTTTCTACAGAGATTTAATCCTGAACTCAAGGACCTGGAAACAGCACAGATACGTAAGATATATAGTTGTTGTAAGCTTGCGTTTATCTTTGATGGACTGGATGAGAGTCGACTCCCTTTGGATTTTGACCGTGGAATGGTGACAAGTGTTGAGGAGCGATCGTCTATAGATCATCTGTTCACAAGTCTGGTGAACGGGACTCTGCTTCCATCAGCTCACGTATGGGTGACCTCACGGCCAGCAGCAGCCAATCAGATCCATCCTAAGTATGTGTTATTCACAGAAGTGAAAGGATTCACTGACCAGCAGAAGGAGGATTATTTCAAAAAGAAAATCAAAGATGAGACTCAGGCCTCCAGAATGATCTCACACATTAAGAAATCCCGTTGTCTCTACATCATGTGTTACATTCCCGTGTTCTGTTGTATCATAGCCACGGTTCTTCAGGACATCCCCATTGGTAACGATGCAGAGAACATCAACACAACACTCACTCAAATGTACATCCACTTCCTGCTGATACAGATGAACATGAAGAGCCAGAAACATGACAAAAAAACAGAAAGAGAACGCACCAAGCTCTTGGATTCCAATAAAACAATGGTTTTGAAGTTAGCCAAGCTAGCATTTGAACAGCTGAAGGAAGAAAATGTAGTGTTCAGCGAGAAGGATCTGAAAGCATGTGGTATTGATGTGGGTGAAGACTTTGAGTCCACAGGAATGCTCACTGAGATCTTTCAGCAAGAAGCTGGACTTCATGAGATGAAGGTCTTCTGCTTCGTGCATCTGAGCGTTCAAGAGTTCTTCGCTGCAGTGCACGTGTTCCTCTGCTACCTGAACAAGAACGTCGAGGAGCTGCGGTTTTTCTTTGAAGAAACTCAAAACTGTTTCTCAAAAACTCAAAAACTCAAGAAAAAACTTCCTTCTCTTTTTAAAAAAGACAAACCCCACAAAAATATCCTCTTGCATGATTTACTAAAGAAGGCTGTTGAGAAAGCGATTCAAAGTCAGAAAGGACATTTAGACCTATTTTTACGGTTTCTGCTGGGCATTTCACTGGAGTCCAATCAGAAACTTCTCAGTGGCCTGATCTCAAAAATAGAAGACAGCAAAGACAGCATCACAGAAACAACCAAACACATTACAGAACAATTACAAAAAGGGGATATCTCACCTGAATCTTCAGTTAACCTGTTCTATGGCTTACTGGAGCTCAATGACAATTCATTATATACAGAAATCCAGCGATACTTCAGATCAACTCCAGAAAGAAGACTCTCGTCATCCATGTGCTCATTGATGGCTTACGTACTGCTGATGTCAAATACGGTGCTGGATGAGCTTGACCTGAAGATGTACAAGACATCAGGGGGAAGCCAATTGAATCTCTTGCCAGCTGTGAGATGCTGCAGAAAAGCCATGTAAGTAACTTGTTGACTGCTGTTTAGTGAAATTTTCCTCTACTCTGAAACTTTTTTTTAAGTGTTTAAGTGCAGTACTGAAATTGCAATGGGAAGCAAAATCTTTACTTACTACAATGCATTTACAAAAAAATAATAATTTTTGACAAACTTTAAAAAGTTGTGAAACTTGTTTTCACTTGTCTGTCATATTCATTCCAACATGCATGACTTTTTAATATTTAATACCAGAGATCTATAGTAACGAAGTAGAACTACTTAAGTACTATAATGCTGTATCTGTACTCTACTAGAGTATTGTTTTTTTTCTCATACTTCTACTTTTACTTCAGTAGATATTTTCGATGAATTTAATACTTTTACTTCAATATTTTTTAATGTTCTGCTAGGGACTCGTTACAATTATAAAAATTGTACATATCATTCGTTGCAAGTTGGCTTTCATGCTGCCTAAATCATACGGCAGTTTTATAGGGTAATGGTATTGATTGACAACTAATGCAGGGGTTGTCCTGCAATGACATTTTTTGGCGGCCGCCAAAGCAAATTTGTATCACGCCAAAGCGCCTTATTTGATTGCTAGTTCAAACTTTTGACTGCTTTCTTTAATAATTACATGACACAATACTTGTACTTTTACTTTTAGTACTTAAGTAGTGAATTTTAAAATAAACTACTTGCAATACTTAAGTACAAATTTTTTTTGAATACTTTAGTACTTCTACTTAAGTGTGGTGCTTAAAGAGCACTTCAACTTCTACTCAATAGAGGACTTGTACTTTTACTCAAGTCCGGGTTTCTAGTACTTTATACATCTCTGTTTAATACTAATGGAAAGCTTGAATGTTCACAGAGAACATGACATAACTTGACATAACAAATATTCTGAATTTACAGTCTCTCCTCATGTGGACTTGATGAAACCTTCTGTGAAACTGTGGCTTTGGCCCTGGAGATACCAAACTCACCCCTGATAGAGCTGGACATGAGTGACAATGATCTGCATGATTCAGGAGTGAAGCTGCTCTCTGATGGACTGAAGAGCCCAAACTGTCAGCTGAAGACACTGAGGTTTGAGATTCAGATGTGTTTTTAGATGCTGATTTAACACAGCGTATATACAAAGTATGATCACCCAAATCAAACAAATTATTGAATGTTATTATAATGTAATAAAAACAAGACAAGACATTACTGCATCAATATAACAAAATGATTGCACCTCACAAGACAAGACCACAAACAGAAATACATAGAAAACATGTTTATATTTAAATGTATAAAAATTCTATCACACATCAGGGCTGGTGTAATGGGGTCTGGGGTGTAATATATGTTTATTTCTGATTGGTGATAAACGTAAATAAAACATATTATTGATCCAGAAATCCAACCAAATTGTGGTACATTTTTATTAAACTATAAGTACCCCTGTGTTCAAATCCCAGCCTAACTAATTAATATTTAGAAACCAAGTAAAAACAAGAGCCCAAGAGGAAATGATGGACAGATACGGTATGTTTATCAGGTTAAAAAAATCTAATATGATGAGTAAAAGAACTACAGAATATGAGAAATCCCTTCTGTCAACTATCTTTAAAATGTGAAATGTGGCTGGTTAGTATATTGTAAAATAAAAGAGAACCTGTAAGGTTTATAATGTTGTTTGTTCTCAATTTAAGATTAATGGGTCTCATTTATGAAACATTCATAAATGAGTAAATATGAGAGTCATATGCGCGTAAAGCGACCTTCCCGAAATTCTTCTCCTGATCCACAAATACTTTGTAAACGTCAGATGTGATAGTGAAATGTGTGTATGTGTTAATGAATTCCAATGAGTCGTAAATGGGACGTGCGTGCACGTTCATTCTCAATTACCATAAATCCCGCCCATTATATCCGACTGACATCTATATATAGGCATATAATAACATGAATGCGAATGAAAAAGAAAAATTTCTCAAATGCAGAAATTGAAGTTTTATTATCAGAAGTTCATTCAAAACGCCACATTTTATTTTCAAGCGTACATAGTGGCGTATCAGGTCCTATAAAAATGGACGCTCAGCAGCATATTACAGATGCAGTTAATGGAGTTTCGTCTGTTAATCAAACAGTCCCAGAAGTGAAAAGAAAATGTTTCGACATTAAGCTTGACAGCAAGAAACGAATTAGTTCACTTCGGAAAAATCGTATTCAAACTGGAGGAGCTCCACCATCGCAGATGAAATTACTGGCTCCCATAATACAAGTAAAAAAAAAAGAAAAAACGTATGTAATTACTAATCATAATATTTTTTTTTAAAAATGCTGTGTGAATATGTACCCGATTAAGGTGAATTAAAATGCAGCCTTATTAATGAGCAAAACGTTCGGATGTTAAGCCGTGCACCATTTACACGTGGCTGGGAGCAGGTGTAGATTTCTTTCGTACCAACTAACATTTGCAAAATAGCAACATTTTAATGAATCCGAAACATACACATGATTTACACAAAAATTCGTTCTGCTCGTGTTTCATGAATGAGACCCAATGTGTGAATCCATTTAAATAAAAATTGATGTGTAATTATTATCCTGTTTTTAATTATGCTGTTTAGGTTGGCAAATTGTAACCTCACTGATCAGTGCTGTGAAATCAGTCTGGCATCAGTTCTACAATCATCAAACTCCCATCTAACAGAGCTGGACATGAGTGGCAACGAGCTGTATGATTCAGGAGTGAAGCTGCTCTCTGATGGACTGAAGAGCCCAAACTGTCAGCTGAAGACACTGAGGTTTGAGATTCAATAATTCATTCAGTAGTCAAATCCATGAAGCCTTACTAGTAGATCTAAGAGAAACTAAGCTGATTTCAGTGAGTGCTGTGCAGTGATATAGACAGTAGCAGGCTAGCAGCTGAACAATAGAACGCTGGATTGACCAATCAGAAGGCAGTATCAGAATTATAAGTTTACGTGTTAAAATTTTTTTCTTATAAAACACATTGTTCCGTTTCTTGATTATGACTGACTGATTCTTGTTCAAAGTTAAAGTTAAAATACTCTGAAAAAAAAAAACAATGGTATTCTACGGTCCTGGGGTCCCACTGCCTTGCACATTTTGGGCTCTATCTTGCACCCGGCGCAAATGACTTTATACACTGACGCATTTATCATTCCTATTTTGCATGCGCGCAAAGCAGGTTTTTTCCCTCCACAGATGCACGTTGGTAAACTATGAAATGAACTTGCGCTCTCTGGGCGGGTTGGGAGCGCTCACAAAGTTACTTGCGCTTTGCGCTTTGACACTTGCGTTTCAGATCGTTAAAATAGGGCCATTTGTGTTTTTCTCTTATCTGACAAACTTTATTTATATAGCAGAACTAATACAACACAAGTTGACAAAATTTTGTTAATGATTAATACATTGATGTGTAATTATTCTGTTTTCTTTTATTCTATTCAGATTGAAAGACTGTTATCTCACAGATCAGTGCTGTGAATTTGTGGTATCACTTCTCCAATCATCAAACTCCCGTCTGATAGAACTGGACATGAGTGGTAATGAGTTGCATGATTCAGGAGTGAAGCTGCTCTCAGATGGACTGAAGAGCCCAAACTGTCAACTGAAGATACTGGGGTATAAGATTAATTTATTCTTAATGCTGATGCATTATATAATTTATGACTATATATTTAATGATGAATAGGTTATTTATTCTTTCTTTTTTATATTTAGTTTTGGCTTAGATACAATGATCATTTTTAGATGCAATAGATAATCGACAGGAAGCTAAGTGGAAGAGAGAGAGGGGGGCGGGATCGGAAACGGTCCCCGAGCCAGGACTTGAACTCAGGTTGACCGAAGCTCAATCTGTCTGAGTTTTGCTATGTTTAGTAGATTCTATGGATTCACATTCATAGACGATTCGAGCAGGAGTTACTAAATTTAACCGATCTCACACATCAATCACAATTTGAGATATATATATATATATATATATATATATATATGTGATTATTCATTTTTATATTATTCTGTTCAGATTGGTAGGCTGTAAACTCACTGTTCAGTGCTGTGAACATGTGGCATCAGTTCTACAATCATCAAACTCCCGTCTGATAGAGCTGGACATGACGGCCAATGACCTGCTGGATTCAGGAGTGGAGCTGCTCTCTGTTGAACTGAAGAGCCCAAACTGTCAGCTGGAGACACTGAGGTTTGCGATTCACTCAATCAGTATATTGAAGCATTATACATTTACTATAAATTTAGTGTTAGTAGGCTCTTTAATGTATGAATTTTGATAGAGAGTATTGTTGTGCAAAAAACAATTTGTCGAGTGTCAACAGCTTAGTTTATGGCACCGTTGATGTAGCATTTTATTCACTCAGAACCTAAAACCAAAACTCGAACATGGCTATTTCCTTCAGGAGATACAAATCTATTTTCTTATGATCCTCAGTATCTGGTTGATGGCTATATAGATCCAGAGATGTAGTACTAGAAACCCGGACTTGAGTAAAAGTACAAGTGCTCTATCAAAAATGTGACTTGAGTAGAAGTTGAAGTGCTCGTAAAGCACCACACTTAAGTAGAAGTACTAAAGTAGTCAACATTTTTTGTACTTAAGTATTACAAGTAGTTTATATTAAAATTCACTACTTACGTACTAAAAGTAAAAGTACAAGTATTGTGTAATGTAATTATTAAAAAAAGCAGTCAAAAGTTTGAACTAGCAATCAAATAAGGTGCTTTGGTGGGATACAAATTTGCTTTGGCGGCCGCCAAAAAATTTCATTGCAGGACAACCCCTGCATAAGTTGTCAATGTGTGTCAATCAATACCATTACCCTATAAAACTGTTGTGTGATTTAGGCAGCATGAAAGCCAACTTGCAACGAATGATTCGTAAATTTTTTATAATTGTAACAAGTAACTAGCAGAACATTAAAAAAGTATTGAAGTAAAAGTATTAAATTCATTGTAAATATCTACTGAAGTAAAAGTAGAAGTATGAGAAAAAAACAATACTCTAGTAGAGTACAGATACAGCATTTTACTATACATCTCCCTATAGATCAACTGGTGATCAGAACCATACTCTCCTTTTAGCAGAACTTATCTTTTATAAAATGAGAGAGATTCCACCTTTACCAGTTAAGGTGGTAATATGGAAGTGTAATTATTAGTTTTTAAATTATTCTGTTCAGATTGGTAGGCTGTAAACTCACTGATCAGTGCTGTAAAGATGTGTCATCGGTTCTACAATCTTCGAACTCCCGTCTGAAAGAGCTGGACATGAGTGTCAATTGCCTGTGTGATTCAGGAGTGGAGCTGCTCTGTGTTGGACTGAAGAGCCCAAACTGTCGCCTGGACATACTGAGGTTTGAGGATCAAATGAGTTTGTGTTTGTTGATTTGATACACATAAGGTATGATTACAGAAACCAACACATTTTTTTGTATTAAATTTTCTTATTATTGCGAATAATTTTCTTTAAAAAAAAGAATTTTTTTTAAAGAAATATTACCCAAGTTGCAGTTGCGTTAAACATCACATGGCAAGACTAAAATTTAATAGGAATAGAATACATAAATTACATATTTAAATAAAGACCAATTGACGAACCAAAATGTTTTATTATTAATCTATAACTTAAATTAAATACAGTTTAAAACTAGCTAAATGTTTGATTACCTCATTCAGGTCAAATGATTTAACAAGCTTTTGTTGTGCATTGGTTTCACAAACATGGATTAGATTAAGCTAGAATTTGGCCTTAGTTAAATTAGGACATTTGAGTAGCTTTTTGAAATGTTACATAGAAAAACAAAACAATCAATGGTACTGACATATCTTAAGATATGTAAGTGCAAGTTCCCTTTAGTTAAGACAACTCAAACATGGATTTTAGTTTGGGATTAGCCTTAAGCCTAATGTAACAGATATATTCACTGTTTCTGTGTGTTTATTTAGATTATCTAACTGTGAGATCACAGATGATGGCTGCTGTTTTTTGGCCTCAGCTCTGCGTTCAAACCCCCCACACCTGAAAGAGCTGGATCTTAGCAACAATCGCACCGGAGAATCAGGATTCAAGATGCTCTCTGATCTACTGAAGGAACCTCACTGCAAACTTGAGTATGTTAAGCAATAAGATTCATTCTGTCCTGCAAATTTATGTATATGTATTTCACCTTTACTGTGTAACACTTTAGTAAAATGGCATTCAAAAGATGCTGTACAGCTGCAAAATATGGAGGAAAATAATGTTTATTTAGTTGTTTAGTTTTTTTTTTTACTATTTGGTTACATGTCATTTTCAATTAAAAGGCTTCTTAAAGAGATATTTCAGCCAAAATGAAAATGTTGTCATCATTTACTAACCTTCACATCATTCCAAACCTGTAAGACTTTTTTGGGGGAAATATAAAAGAGATTTTCTTCTCAGTGAAACATTCTTCAATATATATTTTGTGTTTGGCAGAAGAAGTCATAAAAGTTTGATTATATTTAGGTGAATATTTTAACATTTGGCTGAACTATCTACTAATTTAACAAAGGGGTTAGTCAGGGTTTAGTTGGCTGAAAAATCTGTGGATTGTTTCTTTGATTAAATAATTGTACTATTTGGTTTGGTAAGAAGTTCAAATATAGCCATGCTGTTTGTGCTCGGTCTGATGGTTTGTCATGCTTACTCTCTGGGTAGCTACACGTGATCTATTGTACAGTTTTACATGGCACTTTTTTTTGGCGTTTAAAACCAGAATAGACTCATAAAAGGGATCATTCTGATGAACACATTTGAGGTCTTTAACTCAGGGGTTTTTCATCTGTCTGTACTATTTCTTATACAGGTTTATGTTTGTTTGGATGGGTTTACTTTGCTATATTTTAGTCTAACAAAACCTGTTACATTCATAAATGCATTTGATTAAATAAAATTATTTATTTCAAAAAAGTTTTACATTTTGGGTAGGGCTTGTTTTTTTTAATATTAGCTTTTTTATTAAAAAAAATAATAAATGATATGTTATGCCTTTTTTAAGATAACTTAGTAAACGTGTGTGTTTTGCAGTGGGGTTTATGGGAGAGATACTTATGACTATGACACTGTAGATCTGTTGTTTTTTTATGTTAAATGTTGTTTCTTCTTAGGTTAACACCTTTGTGGTCTCACACTGGATAAAAAAACACAGCCAACACTTGTCTCATTCTGTCTGAGGAGAACATTCATTGTATCATCATCTTCCAGAGAGATTTGATGAGGATCGTCAGATTCTGTGTAGGCCGAATCACAGGTTGGCTGAAATATTACTTTGCTAATATTACTATACTATACTATTACTATTACTATACTTTACTATAAAACTGGTTATTTTCTATTATTGTTTTTCAGTAGTTCATAGATGTATATGCTGTGATATTTTATTCAGATTCAGGTAAACACAATCTAAAGTTTGTAAGATTCTGAAATTATTACTAATGAAAGTGATGGAAAGAATATGTAAATTAGCTAAACAATGTAACATTTGTCATAGAAATATAATAATCCAGTCTTGAAAATAACTGTCTCAATGTTATAAGAATGAATTATTGCATAGCATTAGTATCAGTGGGCAATGCTCTCCTGTTTCCAGTGAACTGGACCATTTGGCAAGTAAGGGTTCAGATGGTAGTATTTTTAATTAAGAGATCATTTGAGGATACAATATTCTGTTAGAATAAAAGCTAACAGTCCCTGTTTTTGGGCTGGATATATTTCATTTTGACAGTCACACACTCATATCCACACAGACTACGTTTAATGGCCTGAACAGGGATATAATTGTAAGTGAATCAGTGTAAAGTGTTGCATTCGTTGTTATTTTGTTTTTTTATTAATCAAGATTATATAGTCTATATGTTACTTTTTTGCTATTCTTTCAGGGATGAAAAACTTTTATATCCAATGTCATTCTTGATTTAAATGAACAGTATTTCTTTGAAATGAGAAAAATTTTACATTTATTTACTGTGACTTTTGATGAATTTAATGCATCCTTGAATAAATGTATTCTCTCTTTTGAGAAGGCAGTCATTTTTATTCTTTGTAATAATATGCATCCTGTTTGATGAAATGAGCAATTTCAGCATTGAGTGGCTTTGAAACAATGTGAGTCTTTATTCACATGTAACTATTTTGTTTCTAGGGAAGAACTCTATAAATAGGTCTATGTTGTACTGTAAGTACATTGTCCATTATAATAAATACAAACAATATAGCATCAAGCAGAAATTACAGGCAAAAACACACCACCAGACACCAGAGTCACAGAACTTTAGATCATTATTAATCCCCAATTAGTTTATATTATCATGATGTTTCACATATAACATTTAACACATACATTCAAAATACTCAAAACTACACAAAATACATCAAATAAATAAAACAAAATAAGAGGGAGAGAAAAAAATGATTTTAAGATAATTTGTTCAGAGGTTGTGAGCCATTATTTACAAGATCACACTGAATTGCAAGGTGGGAAGCCACTGTATATAGCCTTCTTGCATTGAATTCACCCTGTATATCACTCCTGTAAACCTCACAAAGGGAACATCTGTGTTGAATCAGTCACCTCAGAAACTCCAGTATAATTACAGAACAGATTCAGCTCAAACTCATCCTCAGGAAGACTGAAATCCTCTTCGCTCAGCTCTCCTGCCCCTTTCAACCTTTGCAGTCTCCTCTCATAGTCATTTTCTCATGGTCTGTCTCAGTTATGAAATCAAGCTCTTCATGTTCCTCCTATAGTCATCTCTCACTTGTGGCTGATATCTGAATCTTTGCTTTCAACATTAAGCTGCTGTCTGACCTGTTTAAGTTCTCACACTCTTGTCTGTTGAAGGCACATTTAAGATATTTTGATATATTAAAGGTATAGCGGAGGATCTTTCCGAATTTTAGAGAAGACCCGCCCTCTCCAATTTTTAAAAAAAAATGCACATGGACAAACACAACACTCTTGCTCCCGAGAGGGAACGCCTATTACGCCTTACACAATTATGTTGCAAATTTCAGGACATCATGTCTAGCTGATGTCCAATATTTCCATATCAAACATTTAAGACGTCGGCCATTTTCTATTTTGTAAAAAAATTCTGTATTTTATGAACGCATTAACGTATCGTTACGAAAATCGGTATGGGTCAACAATACGAGGCCCTTAAGGAGCCATGTGAATTTTTTAACCAGCGCCACCTAGTGGTAAAATGTTTTTTTTTTCAAATGCTTAAAACTCGGGTGGGTGTGGTTGACTTATTTTCACTTCTTCTCATCTCCTTAGGTTCCTGAAACCTTGCCGAGTACAACAATACCAAACATGCTAGGTTTCGCCTTACGATTTGTTTAGCGTTGTGATTTAGCGCTTTAAAAACATTTGCCAATATCTTCAAAACCGTTAGATGATCTAGATGAAAACATCGTAGGAAAGTCATCGGCATCATGCCTTGAAGGTACTCAAAGTTTTGGGGCAGCACCACCTTGTGGTAAAAAAGTTATTACAAAATTTCCAGAAGCGCTAATAACTTTTGAATAAATTTGCCAAATTGTAGTGACAGTTCTGAAGTCTATGGGAAGCCCATAAGTAAGTCCTCTCATTTTAATTTCTGTATATTTTTGAAATTGTAACTATGGCTGATAATAAGGTCAATCTCAACATACGGTCCTTTTACCTATTTTTTTTCTTAGATTTTATTTGTATATTTTTAACATATTAACTCCGTAAGTCAGTAGAAATTGCTCAGTTTCTATTAGCATGTATGCTATGCAGCCATATGCCATGTATTTGATAACTTTTTCCTAAAAAACTCAATCCTGTTACTTTCAGTCCTGATACTTTTATGAACAATAACAGGAGTGAGTTGCTCCAGAGGCGTTCGACCTCTGACCTATATAGCGATTGTAAGTCGCTTTGGATAAAAAGTGTCAGCTAAAATGAAAAATGAATAAATGTAAAATTTCTCCTGAACAGATAAGAAGACACGAAGCACGACAGACCAGAGAGCTAGTGTTAAATAGAAATAATGTTTCCCCATTGAGAGAGATGAGCCGGATGAGAGAAACATCCCAAGGGCTAAAAAGGCTTTAATACAAGGCAAACCGTATAGAAGTGGTTTGAGGTATATGAATTAAGATATTTTTGGATAATTAGATGTCTTACAGTCAAATATTGTGTTTGTAGACACTGTACTAGTAATGACAGAGTTTTAGTTCTAACACACTCCTGACTTCCTCTAGTGAGTCTCAGTATGGATGCCAGAAAGATGGAAATCTACCATAAGTTTACATAGCTAATGTGCATTAATATGCATTTCCATCCATGTCATGTTTCCTGGAGCAGGTGTTCAAACAGCCTGATAAATAATGAGATCTTTCCTGGTCTCCATCCAGATTTTAATATAATGTGTGCAGCTGTCTCAAATACCAATACCCACCTTCAGTATTACTGAACTGTCCTATATTAGCATACGCTTCTGGAACAATTTACATTGAACAAAATTGTAACACTTTTGTTTTTGCCCCCATTTATCATCCTATATGCTCTGGAATAAAATAAAATAAAATGAGCTAAATATTTCTTGGTCAACCCAAAAATTCAAGGCAATTCAAAATGACTAAAAGTGTAACACCACTAGAATGCTATTATTAACCATAACAGTTATATAATATCAAACACACAGTAGCATTTCGTTGAATTTTGCATTCCACAGCGTTCTTTTATCTTTATAAAAATGCGCTTGGCGGACATGTTTGGCTATTGCACTCGCGCACATGAACCTGTAATCTAAAAATAAATGTGTGTGTGTTATCAGAATGTCTAAAGCCTATCTATCTAAGCACTGCACTGCTAATTTATAGACTGTTTTTTCTTTTTTTTCTCAGTTGTAGTTATTCACAGAAGTTAATATTTTAGTCAGATTCAGGTAAACACAATCTGAAGTCTTTAAGATTCTGAAATTATTATTATTAATGAAAGTGATGGGAAAATACGTAAATTATATAAACAAATGTTACATTTGTCATTTAAAAAATATCTTGACCGAAATCTAATAATCCAGTTTTGAAAATAACTGTCTCAATGTAATTAGTATGAATTATTCCATAGTATTAAAGGATTAGTTCAGAGTCAGTATTATTTACCCAAAGTCAGTATTATTTACTCACCGTCATGTTGTTCAACCCTGCAAGACCTTCGTTCATCTTCGGAACACAAATTAAGATATTTTTGATTAAATCTTAAAACTGGATCCGTCCTCCATACTAGTCCATAGGCTTCTTGAGGGATAGAAACTTGCTGGCCTCGAAAAGTTATTAAAGACATCGTTAAAATAGTCCAAGTGACGACAGAGGCTCAATCTTAAGTTTATCAAGCCACGAGAACACTTTTTGTGCGCAAAAAAACAACAAAAATAACGACTTTATTTCAACTATTCATTTACTTTGTTTTCAGGCCAGGTTCTCACATTTAGACTAAACAACATGGAGAAACACACTTTTAAAAAATATATGTTACCGGCTGAATCAAACCAATTTTACCTTGGTGAAGAAAATGTTTGTGTGTGTGTGACAATGTCTTATGAACAAAAGGCTGCTGTGTCTGTTTTGTAGTCTCCTGCAGTATGTATATTGTTATAAGAGTGTGTAATATGTTGTTTGCCTCAAGGCTTCCATTATAAACCCAGACCTGTTGTTCTGAAAAAACCCTATTGCAAATGAAAATGGATTGCTAAACATTACAGTCTTGAATATGTTAATCTACTGAATAATTCAAGGCCAAACTCACTTGTGTCTGTCATGACTAATTTTAAAACAAATCAGCACCAACTTCATCATTGTGTGTGTGTGTGTGTGTGTGTGTGTGTGTGTGTGTGTGTGTGTGTGTGTTGACATTGGCAGGTGCGACAGTGCTGAAACCACACACACTCAATGCACATTTTTTAAAAATAAAGCTGCTTAATTAGTAAAAACTAATTTGTATGAAATAATGTTCATGCTGCGGGACTGATCCTGCCATGAATATTTTAATTGATTATTGCCGCCTGAGGTGTGTTTCAGTAGCGTTGATTGTTCCTGTTCCATGTGAAAATCTTAATTCTGCAATCATAAATTAGTTGGTAACACTTTGGTGGCAAGGTTCAAGTAGTTAACTCAGTTCATGTTAATTTCAGCATTTACGAACACATCATTAAAATCTTTTATTAAAAGATGTATCTGTTAATATTGTCTAATGGATCTTAGCTAACATAAACGAACAATAGTTCATTCATATATTAAGAAAGATCATAAATTCTATAACCTATTACTTAGTGTACAACAATGCATTAAATGGGACCTTATTGTAAAGGGTAGTCAAAACATTTGAATAAAATTGCATTAATTTTTTCCCAAATCTACTTTCAAAAACGTTTTGTAACCAAATGTCAGGTTATTACAGTTCTGTAGAGATCTCAAGGTTTTTAATTATCAACATTTAATAGGCTAAGAGAGAGAGTGGATCTGCAGCGCGCGGGTCCATGGCAAAGCAACGCTCCAATTCAGTTTCCCTTTGTTGTGCATCTGGCTGAATACAACACAGAAATATGATTCTGAAAGGAGCCGTGACAACAAAAGGAAATGAATTTTAATAAAGCCCAGACAGACCCCATTGAGACGAACACACAACCTGGTTCTCAGTGGCGCGATGTGCTAATGGTGCTAATCTTCCGAGAACGCAGCAGGTTGTTGAAGCCACGTGACGCTGGAATGAAAGGGAACCCGTATTTCTGTGGCTTTTGTTTCAGTAATGGAGTCCCACATGTGGGGACACACGGAGACATAAAACCCTCAGAAAACAGTGGAACGGAACAAAGAAAGGCGATTTACCATATCCCACAATAATCAGTTTCTTATTGGGCTTAATATATTGTAACCTTTGTTCAGTTTTGCTCATGATTTTTCCTCATCGTGAACCACGTCACCGCAGCACGGAGACGTGTTGCATTCACTTGAAGAAAAAAAATCTACTCTGTTTTTCTGAATTAACAA